AGCCGGCAGGTAGTTTCTTACCTTATTTTGTTGAAAATTAACATTGTTTTGAGACATCACTGCTCATAACATGAGAGGCTGAGGCGACGGCACTTGATGGTAGACGATTGAGGTTGATAACCGCTGAGCTGGTTGATGTTGACTGCATTGCAATATGTTGGATTCTTGTTTCACAAACGTTGCCTTCAAGTGTGTCCTCCATTTTGCCATCGGTTGGGTAGATCTGGGCGAGGTTATTTACAAAACCATCCGTTGCCGTTATACCACACAATTAACACCACACAATTTGTAAGTGTTGTTGATTACTATCACAGAAGCACTTCAACTTACACTGAAACACAAAACACTGGTGTTGGGCACAGCGCCGCGCGCGGAGGTTCGCACTGTGCGACTGTCGGGCGACGCAGCCAAATGAACAAATCGCTTCAACTCGTGAAAAACAATTGATATAGGAAACATAAGCTTTCGATTTGAAATTATTCTTTCTCATAAAATAAAAATTAATATAATAATACCTATTAATGAAATGGTTGAGCCTAATGAAGATGAACTATTTCATGATGTGTAAGCATCTGGATAGTCGTCAAAACGTTTCTCCTACGTCTGATTACGCTTATAAATTTGGCAAATTACTTCTTATCAAGTCCTTCTTTCAAACACCAAAAATCTGTTGTTTTTCTTCGCTACAAATATTACGTTTAACGTTTAATAAAATAATGCTTTGAACAGTTAACTCACACTGTACGCAGTTAGGCACTATAAAAACAAACAGTTTAAAATATTTCAGGTTATTTTATTGCCTATGCCCCATTGTCATTTATATTTGGAAATAAATTATAGGTTCATGCGGTGTGCATTACCTTCTTACTTACCGTCAATGAAAAATACAAAAACTAAATTCACAATAAATGCAGCCTACAAATCCTAGCAAATTAATTAAACCGTAGAATACATTTTTTTGCAAACTAGTTAAGTCATTGATTTATTTATTTTCAATTCTGAAGACTACTTTAAAAGTGGATATAAAAACAATGTTTCAATGAACAGCCAGTCATTCTGATCACAATTTTCGTGATAACTGTATTCAAGAAAAATACAAATGAATGAAAAAATATCATTTTTAATGTCATGGAGTAAATAAATTTAATAATGAGATGAAAATCTCCTTAATGTATTTTGAAATTCTATCCAATTTAAAGGGGTATGTAAATGCAAATTATAATCATACACAAAATCAAATTCATAGCTGTTTTACATCCTACTTTATGATTTTAATGACTCTCAACTACATAACGAATACAAACATAAACAATGACAAAGTGAATAAGAAGTAATGTTTGAAAGAAAACCCCATCAAAAATAATATGTCCATAAATATTAATGTGTCAGAGAAAAAGCGTGTTGTTTCGTCATTATTTTTGGGGTACCATATTTCTCCAAATCTTGTTCAATTTATTGCTCTTGTAGGGATATGTAATATTTCACCTCTTTGAAAACAATTACCTAACGGAAGTAATGTTATAAAATTGAGTACTTCCTTCTGTTCTGTTCAAGAGATATTGAATTCACATTCAATACTTTTAAATGCTAAGTAAAAAAAGATTGTTACTATTTTTCTAGGAATTGTTAAACAGTGTTCTGTTATAGTTATTAGTAGGCAAAACTACAAATGTTTTGAACATGTTACAAAATAGTCAGACTTTGCAAATTTTAATGCCATTTAGTTCCTTATGGAAGTGTTGGCTTGCAAGTAATTAATCATTCACTTTGCCTACCCAGAAAATGTTTTGTTCTGACACTGAACACTAATGCTTGTAGGTACACAGTTAGAAGGAACAGAATCTTAATGCATTCTAATAACAAGACAGGTAATTACAATCAAAGGCTAGAGGTTATTTGGAAGTTTTAAAAACTTGAATGTGATTTATATTCAGGTTTTCTGTTCTTGTCTTATTTTATAATTTATGTTTTGGAAACTTAAGATTAGATAAATATAAAACATTCTTAACCTTTACATCAGAATAACCTTCCTTTTTAACCTTTACATCAACTTAACATAACTTTTATTCCTTACATTTTGATAAGACAATGTCTTGCAAGTCAGAGCACAAAGTTGAGAAAGTCAGCAATATGTTTCTGGCAATTTCTCATTAATTAAATATTAAATTGTTTTGATGTTTAGGTCTGTCCTTAGATTTTATGCTTCTGAACATGAAGGATGCATTTTATGTCATCAGAACATGCAGGATGAAATGTTGTGAAGGTTTTTATTTCACACTGATTACTGAAATTAAGACCACTTTAACATATAGTTGCATTATTGGGAAGCTGCAATACTTAATTATGGTTATTGAAGGAGGTCTTGGTCTCTACAGAAAATACTTGGTAGTGTGCAAATAGAAAGGAATGCAAATGCAGGGATGAAAATAATTTAAAAGAGGGGGAAAAAATATTAGTAACATATAAATGAATTCAAACAAATCGGTCTTATCATTTTCTCACACATTCTCACATAATTATCTACATCTGAGTACATGACACAACCCAATTATTTTTTTTAAACTTAATTATATGCGTTTACACAAGAAAATTGTATTCATTTATAACTTCCTACTAAAGTTTTAATACTAGCTTAAGTAATCATAGGTTGTAGAAGACAATTGAGACAGAAGCCTGGTTTGTTTACAGTACTTGTATAAATGAATATTAATAGGGGGGAAAAAAATCGCAATTAATGGTGTCACACATTACCTCATTGCTTTGCATGTATTGTAAGCCCATTTTCACAATTTATTCTCTTAATATGGAAATGGAATGTTTAAAAAGCATTGAAGCATTGCAAAAAAATACAACTTATATTCCTAATATTTATGTTCCAGTTCATCTGTTACAATGAAAAAATGTTCCATAATATAATTATTTTTTTCATTGCTCAAATTACATTTTCCACAAACACCTCAACTTCCCTGTTCATAGACAGTGCAGGTACACCAAAGAATGTTTTAATTTTTGCAATTACGCAAAGTTAGAGTTAGTTAATTGTCCTGAGATGTCTTTTAATATTTTTTGTAAATACACTATAATGAAAATCCAAATTCTAATAAATAAAGAAAGTGTTAAGCTAAGGATTTATTACTTCAGATGACAAGTCTTAATTCTATGAAGTTATATTTAAAAGAAGCTATTTCTGGAATACTCAATGCTGTGGCAACATTGTGAGAATTATTGAGAAAAGTGAAGCTGAACCTAATACCTTATGTTTGAGGTCCAGAGTACTTTCTCTATGGCAGCATTGACTCTAAAGAAGTTGGGTAGGAAGTTGCCTATATTTTTACTATAAAAGATATCTTGAATATTCTCTTCTACGTCATTGTGATCAAAATTCAATTCTTCTAATAACTACAATTTCTTCTGCCTTGGGAGTTGTGATATTCTTCTAATAATAAATAAGCTATTGATGATGGCTTAATGTTCAGCTTTCTGCACTGATGTTATAAAATCTTAATGTATTTCATTTACATTTTGGACACATCTTAATGTAAATAAGCCTATATGTAAAAATTTGACCAACGTGTTTGTGAAGTTCACGGCACTACCATTTCTATTAGCATGTAGGACAAAATTATAAATTACCTTTCAAGTTTAAATAAAAACTTTCAAAATAAGTGTTATAGGGAGCCAAGAAAATGTGTGCTGATAGAACTACTCTCCCCTATGTCACTTATAGTTTTTACTGTTCTTTGACTAAATAATTCAAATCAAATCTATTTGCATTTTATCACAATTATTTGACTTAGTATGATTTAATATATCATTATTTTTGTATTTATGCACCATTATAATTATTATTATCTTTGTATTGTAACTTATTTTCTCGTTCTCACTAGATCTTATGATTAGGACTATTAAAAATGGCTTAAATGACATAAATTAAGTTAAGGTTTCAACTTAGTAACTGCATAAGAATGTATAAAATACAGTAGTTCATAAAATTAACAAGTGTCTTGAGGTGTATTAACTGAAGCAGATGCTGCTCCAATTAATGAGCAACATTTTAAATATTTCAATAAAACAATTTATATTAAAAAAAATGCAATGAAAAGCTACAAAATATTCTTTAACGTAGCTGCCTGTCAATCAATATCACAGCAATCAGAACCAAACTATGTAAACTTGTTAGCAATTTAAATCTCCTTGATTATTGGATTGAAATGTTTCTTTTCAGATTCATATAATTATTTAGATCATGAATATTTTTGTATCAAATGGAAATTGTAAGGAAATTCCAAATCCTACTATTTTGAATGCATTGATTTTCATTATCCTTCAATTGCTCAGCCAGAAACAATCTACCTAAAATCTTCATAATATTACTTTTCCACCTACTGAAATATTACTTATGTCTTCCACCTTTTGTAATAAAGTATTTTGGTAAATGGTCTATAAACACAACTGCTGCAACTGGAATCATTGAATTAGATAATAAAAAGTTTTGTGCACAACTTGGCACAAAAATGAAAATGCATTACTCAATCAAACAATGCAATTTCAACCACTGAATTACTCTGCAATGGATCATAAAGTATTACAATAAAGGAAAAACAAAACAACAACAAAAAACCACTGCTCTCAAGTGGCAGAGTGAAGAGGCCAGTGTGGTGAAGAGGAAAATGTGTAGATGCCAGAAAGTCATGATCAGTTATCATAAATTACTCACAACTTATAAAGACATACATGAGAAGAATTAAAACTTCTTTTAAATGAGAACAGTTACAGTATGTGTTCTCAAAACTACCACTGAATATTTGTTCTGACTTGACAAAATACACACAAACATTCTAAGACCTTGGGATAACATTAGAAAATAATTTTTTAAACTAATACAATTTACATTTCATTTTCTATTGTCAGTTATTTCAAAATTTTGAAATACTTAATATAATTTAATGAAGGATTATTAGGAAAATTTGGGGAGGGGGAACGAGAATACTAAAACAACATTGTTTTGTCATTCATAATTTTAATTCATAAAAAGAAGGAACACATATTTCAATTCAAACACAATATAGGGCATATATATTTACTGTAATACTTATAATTATTTTAGTTTCATATTAAGCTGTTTAGGATTTACCTACCACTTCAATATTTCAACAATCTAACTGTGAATCCAAATGATTGGATTAACAATAAATACAATATCAATGCTGTTTTGTAATTAAAATATTGTGTCAGTTTGAAAGATTTTCAATATGCATTTGCTGTCCAATGAAGCAGTAGTCACCCGAAGATATGTAATAGGGCCATTATTACAATTATAAATCTGTATCACAGGTGTTGACTTTGCAAAAGAATACACGAATCTTGAGACCATAAAATGAGTTCACTCCCATGTTACATGAATAGCTTTGAGCTATCGTAAATGGGTACCAAGGATTTAATATTAAAATTGAATAAAAAGCATTAAGAAAATAAGTGAAGTGAGACAAAATATCAAATCCAATTACCTAAATTCAGTGAATGAGAACACCACATGCAATTATAAATTTCTTTCTGTATATATTCATAAATATATTGTCTTATCTTCTCTTGATTTAAATTTCATATTTAAGAATCAGGCAACATGTAGTCTTCTGCAATATGACATGGTTTGCAGTCAAACATAAATCACACCTGAGAAATTGCGTTCAAAGAAAATTACAATAGTTTATGCCTTAAAACAAAAAATTAACACATCCTTAGGTACTTAATAATTTCTATGTGCACATATGTTGAAATTACATGATTAACATATTTCTCAACAAAATTATTGGTTTTATGACTGATTGTCTACAGGACAATTCACTGAACTAAATGTACTGTTCATACTTCACTGTTCATTATTCAACAAACTCTGCCACTATAGGCTATTAAAAGATCTGTGTAGACCATGTAAAAGTTTGTAGCACAGTCACTGTTTCACAGGCTTCATACACTTTCCACTTTCGAGAGAAGGAAATTGCACTTTTTACACTAATTATATAATGCACAATCATTTTGTGCATCTTAATATATCAGCATGAAGTTAAACTGGTACAGCTAAACTGTTACACTTATTTAAGTAAAAATATCACACAGGGTTCAACATGGAGTAAACATTCAGTAAAGGATGATAAAAGAATAATCCAGTCTTAAAATAAAAAAGAGAGAAGCAAATCACTGGTAACAGCAGCAATCTTGTCATGGACTAAACGAGTTTCCAGAAAAATGAGTAATCCAACAAATTTGAATTATTTTAACTCTATATCATGATCGTTAAACTATTTGTCATAAAGCTAATAATTCCAAAGCAATGTTTCACTGATTTTCTACCTTTTCTTGTTATTTCTTCAATTCTTCTGTTATTCATTGCTTCATAAAAATAGCTTTCATTCATACTAAAATATTTAAAATTTGAATGATATTGGCAGTCAAGCATAGCTATTTGTATGATTTTCCACACACTTTATGAATTGGTTGCTTCCAGCAAAGCTCCATTCTTTCCTTGAACTCAAATATTCTGGATTCTCATGGCTTAATGTGACATAAATCTATGTACAATTAAATCTGAAAAATTATCTGCACAGTCAAATGTACCCAAAAACCAGTATAGAAGTATTTATTTATTGATAATGAGTTATTTATGTATGATTAGATCTCAAAATATTTTAACTAAAAAACTTGGAAAAAATTAAACTGGGGGAGGAGGGGAGGGAGAAAAAAGTGAACTATGAATTTTATGTAAAATTTGAAATATGATACTCTATGAAAAATTAGTGTGGAGCTGTCTGAAGTCATTTTTGGTGCTTCTCACTATTCATAAGATGGTTCATGGAGAGAGAGAGAGAGATGTACATGCTTTGAATGTGGGATAGTGATTCTAGATAAAAGGGAGATAGAAATGTCTGTATTTAGTTATTCCAAAATAATGTGTTCTACTCACACAAATTTTCTTAATTTTATTTCTATTGGCTGAGCTGTTTCACTGATGGAAACACCGTATATCTTCTCACAACTACACCACAGAAAAAGGTTTCGAGACAAACACTGTACACAGTTGGTAACTAGAGGCTCTTACAATGCCCAACACAAATTGACAGATTGGGGTACAATAAGGACATGCCTGGAGTTAAAATCACAAAAAGAAATAGGTTTGATATATGCAGATGATAGGTGGTAATGACAGCAAGAATGCTACACTCACAATGTCCAATAACATTTTGCAGTCATCAAGTCTGTTTACTGTATACAATCTACTTAGTAGTTACACTCATAGTGAATCACCTCTACTCCATTTGTGGTCTCAATTGACCTGACTTTCCAGTCTGCATTTATCACATTCGATACAGATCTAGTGAATGATACATTTTCACACTGATCACTCACCGACAAATGAAACCTATTGTAGGCTCACGAATTACTGTCTGAAAGAGGCCACATTTTCCTAATGTATTTGGCCAAACTGTTTGTTCACAGAATAGGTGGCAGGAAAGTCCCTGAATCATCGAGATTGGTGTCGAGGGATGCCAGAAGATCAGTAATCGCATGGCCCGTGCTGCGGTTGCTGCTGCTGGCACTGCTGAGGCCGTTGAGTTTTGGTTTGCCGGAACCGGCACAAGAGCTGCTGTCCGCTTCATTTCCTGGGAGGGGATCCAGGAGTTTTGACACACATTTCTTGCCTCTGTATAGGCGGTACAATGAGTACTGTTGCTGTACAGAGTCACTGTCCAAGTGACGCTGTTGCTGTGCTTGATGCTGTTGATGGTGATGCTGATGTTGCTGTTGCTGCTGCTGATGTTGCTGGTGAAGGAGCTGGTGTTGTTGCTGCTGTGACTGACTGCTTGGAACTTCAGATGGAGATCTTCTTAGCTCTTGTTGCTGAATTGTGGAAGACATCTGAATCCATTCATGACGCATTGCCTCATCAGGAGTCATTCGTTTCTTGGCATCCCACCTAAGCAAATATAAATAGTAATTAGTTATAAACATATGTAAAACTAAATTTGAAAAGAAATATTGTATCAGAAAACCAACATATAATTATAGCATACATAAATAATATGCTCCCCCTTATTTTTTAATTGTCTTTTATATTTTACAATAATAATAAAATATATTGCAAACAACATGTTAGAAAATTACTAAAAATAAACCATCAATGTGACAATGAAAACAGAAATATAGAAAATATAGAATTATATTTTAAATTCCCATAACAACACATTGTTCATTTATTTACATTATTTAACATCAAAAAACAGTTAAAAACTGTGTGACCTACAGGGCCACATCTTCACTTTACAAAAATTTTATGTCACTTTTCATGAACGTTTCAAAATGTAGCTAATATATCGGCTATTGATTTCAGTCGTAAATTGTTAAGGCAGCTAAAACATCTTTGCAATGATGTTGCTGAAAATTACTTTCACCAATAAAAGTACTTTCAAGTCATACATTTGTATAATTTGAAGCTTTGTTAAGTTTTCAGAACACCAAATATTTTTAATTACACTTAAAATAAATGCACAGGAATAACAAATTTCTTTGTTTTTGTGAGTAAATAATAAGCAATGGCAAAAGCAAAGGTAGTGCTTAATCATGAAGATATTTGACATTTGAGAAAAAATTGAGTTACTTTTTATGAGATTTTACTTACTGGAGACATTGAGCAATGAAATCTACGAACAGGGCATCATTGCACCTGATTGCCAAAGAGAGATCTTTGGAGCCAGGCTTCCGCTTGCGACCTTTACTGTTGGTAATACACCGTGGATTTCCCTTAGAGTCTGCAAGAAAATTATTGGAATCGTTAATGCGACAGTCAACAAAATTAATTTACGAATTTCCATAAATCCACAAGGTAGATCTGCTCACCAAAAAACAGCCTTCTTCGAGACGCATTCATGATTACGTCTTCAGGAGGAGCTCCTAGGACTTCCATGATACAAGCTAATTGTTCCACTTCGTTCTCCCCGGGGAACAAAGGGTATCCTGTGTAAAGCTCAGCAAGAATGCATCCTGAAATCACAATGGTTAATGAAATTTTAATTTAAACAATGAACAATCTTTATGAATCTGATTTATGAAAACTAAATTGATTGCCATTTTTTAAAACAAAATTGAGATATTGTAGACTACTAACCAAGGCTCCACATGTCAATAGCAGTTCCATATGGTAGCCCAAGAATGACTTCTGGAGATCGATAAAATCTTGACTGGATGTATGTGTATACTCGTTGATGGGCATAACATGAACTTCCAAAATCGATTACCTTTATTGAACTGCTGCCTCTTTGTTTCAACAGCACATTTTCCTAAAAGAAGAATGTATTGATTAAAAACTCTCCCATTTTACATGTATGTAGTAATGTAACTTTCTTACTTAAATCCCAATTGAAGAGAAATATTAAGTTTACTTACAGGTTTAAGATCACAGTGAATGATATTTTCCTTATGCAGCAACTGCAGACAACGCACTAATGAATGAGCAAAGCGTCGAATCAGACTCAAACTAAATCCTTGATAATTGTTCTTCTTAATCAGTTCATACAGGTTCAGACTGAAAATAAGAAGAATATTACAGAATACAAAACAAAATTATGCATTTTGAAGGGAAAATGATGCTACAATCTACATCGACAGAAAAAAATAAATAATTTGATTGTGTACTCACCTCATTAATTCAAAACTGATGCATAAATGATTTCTGAAGTAGAAATAATCCAGCATGTGAATTACATTGTGACTACCATCCTTATCCTTCTTACGTAAGTGATCAAGAATGCGAACTTCAATGAGAGCTTGATGATGAAATCTTTTCTTGTTCCTGCAAAAATAAGATTCAAATAATAAAAAATGGACTCTTCAAAGACTTGTAAAACATTCTAAAATAATTATCATTACTTTCAAGAATCAAGAGTAAATATTGAATCAATTTTTACTCAGCATTAATACTATAAACGAAGGCAAAAAATTACCTAATGATTTTAATTGCTATATGTTGATTTGTCTTGTGGTCCAATGCTCGAATCACTTGACCAAAACTGCCTTTACCAATGACTTCAAGGATTTCATATCTGTACAGTATGTGGTCATGAAGAACCTAAAGCACCAAATAAACAATCAATTAGAAATAAGTGATAATGAATATTCAGTGTTGTATAAACTATTTAAGTAAATTAGTATAAGGTAATTCCATTAAAAATATATACCTTATTGTAGCTGCCATTATCATCATCATATCCACCGTTTTGTGATGCTACTTCATCACCATGAATTTTACATGCATCAAGGCCTAGGTACCAAATTTCTGAATAATTCTCCACTTCATTCCTTTCATACTCAGTAAGTCTGCTGCCATAGTACTTCAAGGCTTCTGTAATACAAAATGAATCATACATTAAGAATATTATGGTACAAAATTAGTTGTGTTTATTAAATAATAAATAACAAGTTTGGAAGATATTATGTAATTGATATCTGTGAAGTATAGTTCAGTCAGAGACAGATTAATATATTAAGGGGCCCTAGGCATGATCGTATAATGAAGTCCTATTATAGGGTTGAAGGACGAAAATTAATATGTAAACAAAATCTTAACCTTCACAATTTCAAAATTTGCCATTAAAAATGTTTACACATTTATGAACTAATATAAACTTATGTAGGAAATAAAAATTGATGCAGTTCCCTAATTAAAGGGGGCCCTAAGCTTGTACTAGGACTGGTTATACATTAATCCACCCCTGATTTTAATTGAAACTTAAAAATCTTTCAGAAACAGCTCTTTGTTAGGACAATTTCTTATGAAAGTAAACCTATTATATTATAAAAGTGAACAATGTGAAATATTACCCAAAACAATAAATTTGGAAAAGTCTTTGCATTTTGTGTCGCAAGAATTCAATATAATTTGCATATTGTTTACCAAGCAATTGTGTACTATTTGCCATTATGTCTTTTTCACAGAGAAACAAACATAATAAGATGTAAAATTTACAGCGAAACACAAAAAACCTGTATTAGTGGTTGTTGGAAAATAATATTTTTTTTCAAAATGCGGTTCTGCCGCGCACATTTGAATACTCGCGCGCAATATTGAGACGCGACCGTCACTTGGATAGTTGGTGGAAGTGAAAGTTTGAAACTGTTTTAATACAAATCGGTTTCTAAACACATTAAATTATGACATCTATAAAATTAATTAAAAGTTTAGCTAAATGTTTTTAGAAACGTTGGAATGTTGGGCGTCGTATTTCTCAAGTTTGGTCTGCACCTCACTTCGTATCCCAGAGAAACAACAGAGAAATACACAAAAAAGGTTCACGCCAACATTTTACGTACAACACAACTGAAAAAATATAATATAACGTGTAAATAATATTTTTAAATAACTTAAATTCAGTAATTAATTGTGCATCTACTCGTATGTACTTGTGGGAACTTTTGTTCGCTTTTGTTCACGATCAAATACACTATTGTAGTAAGACTGAAATGAAAGATTCGGTAGAAATACAAGATACGCGGAAAATATAATTTGGAATTATTCTAAAAAAATTAAAAGAAAAACTGGAACTCTAATTCACGATTTATGAATTTGAAGTTGGAAATTGGGGCAAATGAAATATAGTACGTGTTCAATCATACAATAATGTGCGAATACTTTTCAATTTAAAACAATTTTATTTCAAATAATAGTTAATCTTACGACACACTAGAGTTCTTATATGGCATTTTGATTAAATACAATGTATTTTGATTAAATACAATGTTCCTACAAACCCAACACGAAGAAGAAGAAGAAGAAGAAGAAGAAGAAGAAGAAGAAGAAGAAGAAGAAGAAGAAGAAGAAAACGATATTCTTTGTGGCATCAGCCAGGCACGGATCCTCGGGGAGGCACACGAGATAAATTCCCCCTCTGAAATTATTTAGTAACTATTAATTTCAACTTGTCACGACACTTTGAAACAAAAAAATTTTCGGATGATCATGAAAACGAATAAAATCGTACGGCAGCACGAGCTGCGTGTAGCACTTTAAAGCGCCCTCCCAAAGTGCTGCGAGCGCTGCGTGGGCGGGCGGGCGGACGGACTGACCTGCTGCGGTGAGCGGCAGGCGGTGGCCGTTGGCGTCGGCGCGCGCCTGCGAGCCGGCGGGGCCGC